TAACACAAGTTTATCCGTGCTAGCTGCTAGCCTCTATGATGCTAACACAAGTTTATCCATGCTAGTTGCTAGCCTCTATGATGCTAACACAAGTTTATCCGTGCTAGCTGCTAGCCTCTATGATGCTAACACAAGTTTATCCATGCTAGTTGCTAGCCTCTATGATGCTAACACAAGTTTATCCGTGCTAGCTGCTAGCCTCTATGATGCTAACACAAGTTTATCCATGCTAGTTGCTAGCCTCTATGATGCTAACACAAGTTTATCCGTGCTAGCTGCTAGCCTCTATGATGCTAACACAAGTTTATCCATGCTAGTTGCTAGCCTCTATGATGCTAACACAAGTTTATCCGTGCTAGCTGCTAGCCTCTATGATGCTAACACAAGTTTATCCATGCTAGTTGCTAGCCTCTATGATGCTAACACAAGTTTATCCGTGCTAGCTGCTAGCCTCTATGATGCTAACACAAGTTTATCCATGCTAGTTGCTAGCCTCTATGATGCTAACACAAGTTTATCCGTGCTAGCTGCTAGCCTCTATGATGCTAACACAAGTTTATCCATGCTAGCTGCTAGCCTCTATGATGCTAACACAAGTTTATCCGTGCTAGCTGCTAGCCTCTATGATGCTAACACAAGTTTATCCGTGCTAGTTGCTAGCCTCTATGATGCTAACACAAATGAATGTTCTCCTTCTCATTTACCAAAGCTGACCTCTCAGGTCGCAGGGTTAGCGGTGCCGGCCTGTCATTAATCAGATCAATTGTTGGTTTAGGAATAAAATATAGCTTCCTGCTACAAGGATGTAGCAACTGCTGGTTGAGTAAGTCTTAATTTTGTCTCATACTGCATCACAGCACCATTAACTAGAATTTAGGCTTTATGAGCTGAAAAGATCCATTTTGGTTTAATCTTAGACTAAAATCAGGTTTAAACCAGTAAAACAAGTTCAAAGATGCAAACAGATGAAGTTAAAACAGAAAAATGTTTAATTTAGTTCTCTTGTCGGCACGTGAGCTTATTTTACATGATGGAGATGAAGTGCATCCATAGTAGAAGCCCAACCGGATTTAAAAACATGCTGCATTCAGACACAATATTCAAAYAAAAACTTCTACATTTCAGCTTTTTGACCCGACAGAATAAAAAGGTAAGACAGATCCATCGCTAGATACAACAGWGGCAGCAATACACAGGATTGCCCAAACAGTAAAAGTACACGTTCCTTTAAGAAACAGGGAGAGAGAACGCGAAAAACAAAACATCTGGGTTTCAAATCCCCAATTCAAGTAGAATTACCTTTTTATTTCCTTTAGATCTGTTTGTGTTTCGGTTTGCTAAGAAATTCAAGTTCAGTGTGTAAAAAAACAAAAAACAAAAAGGAAACTGACTAAAGTCCAGATAAAAGGTGTGAAAACGTCGGCGATCGGACCCTGAATGAGCCGAGGCCCGGGTCGGAGAGGAGCGACCCCCCCCCACCACGCATGGGGAAGTATCACAACCGGCGCACTCCTTCAACGCCGGGGGGCGGGGCTTTGAAAGCAGACAGGAAGCTAACCCACATCCTACAAGTCCACGGGTGGAAATGACATCAGCAGCCTGAGGAGGAAATGAAGCGAAGTGAGGAGGGGCGGGGCTCGGCTCGAGGGGGGAGGGGCTGATGACAGCTGAGTCAGCAGGAACTGTTGTTTGACATTAAACCAAACCTGTGTGGATCAGGAGTCAGAACCTGTGTGGACCAGGAGTCAGAACCTGTGTGGACCAGGAGTCAGAACCTGTGTGGACCAGGAGTCAGAACCTGTGTGGACCAGGAGTCAGAACCTGTGTGGACCAGGAGTCAGAACC